TATATATTATACTATGTCTAATATCATTGCTGTTCTTTGTGTTTACTTTCAGACAAAAACATAGAAATGACTGCTCCAGTTATTATGAGAATCCCTGAAAAGGGTGCTTTTGAAAGTGGTGATTTCAAAATGAGCTTCATTCTGCCAGCTGAGCATCAGATGAATCCACCTAAACCTACTTGCAAAGAGGTATTCTCACCAGTCCCATGATAATGCTTTCAGTATTTCCCCTTGAGTTCTATCTTTTTGGCTCTTGCAGGTAACACCTCTTTGCTTACTTGCAGGTTTACATCGAAGAGATGAAGGAAATGAGTGTGTATGTGATGAGCTACGGAGGATGGATGTCAACACTAACTGATAATTGGTATTCATATACACTCTCCTCTGCCCTTAAAGCTGGTATCAAATACAGTAAAGGGTTTCACTACTCTGTTGGATATAACAGGTAAAAATGGCACAATCTAAAAAATAAAAAAAAAAACAGTTAAAAAAGTTTCTTAATGTAAATCTGTGTGTTTGCACATTTTGCAGTCCAACGACACTAACAGACCGACACAATGAAGTGTGGTTTGTGGTTGAGGGTGACCCCGTGTGCTACAGCAATGTGTGACCCGATCAAGTACTTCACCTGCATGTTGGGAGGACTGTGCAGTGACTGTCTACTGCAGACAACACGTTTTGAATTTTGCCTCATGTCACTGGTATAAATAAAACCTTCCTGTGAGAATACAATTATTAAATGAAAGCAAATTGAATCATTTCATCTTTCAGTTTTATCTGATTCTTTTAGTTTGCACTCTGCAGCGATGCTTCTGGTGTTTTGTAATTGATCATATTTTTGGACCAACACCCTAACAGCCGAGTAAAGATTATATCAAAATCTATCGTGCTGCACAGTTTATTTCTTTACCACCAGAAGGCACTGCCAAGTTCAAAAAAGCCTCCAGAAGGCCACATGTACTGCATCATGACCAACATTTAGACATTTTCATAGAGATTTCCAAAAGAAGAGGGTAAACAAGGGTAGAACAAGAAGAGGATAATCAGTAAATTAAATATACAGTTTATAAAACTAATAGAATCACTAGTTTAAAGCCACATGTTGTATTTCAGGGTGGAACAGTGGTTAAAGATGCTGCTACCCAGCAAGAAGGTCACAGGTTGGATTATTTGTTTGGAGTTTGAATGTTCTCCTCAGTGTAACTGGGTTTGCTCCGGGTACTCCGGTTTCCTCCCACAGACCAAAACATGCATGTTAGATTAATTTATAATGCTAAATTATTGCAGGGTGTGAGTGTGATTAGTTATCCGTCTCATTTGTCTCTACGTGTCCCTGTGGTGGACAGAGACCTGGCCAGGGTGTCCCCCACCTCTCACACAGTGACTGCTGGAGACATGCACCAGTTCCCCCATCGACCCTGAACAAAAAAAAAATGGATAAACAGACATTGTATGTCCATGTTGCCTTTGCAGCCATGAGTCTTTAAACGTCTGGTTTTAATGTCATCAAGATCAAGTTGTGTCAGTTTAGTGTCGTTCAAAACTTTAAATGTGGGAAAATGTAAAGAAAATCTGTTTGGTGGTCTGTTTTTTTTTTTTGTACATTGAAAAAACTGTTCTGGCACTGAATGCAATTTAACACTACATTACACTTACTACTTAATAACCCATCAGATCTATTGAATCAGAATCAGACTCAGAATGCCTTTATTGTCATTATACGCAGTACAATGAAATTAAGAGCCACTCCTTTTTCCAGTGCAAAAACACGCCTTAAGAAAACACACATTAAACACTAAACACACACTAAAAATATAAAAAATGTAACACAATATAGATATAATAATGAAAGTAAAAAATACAAGTATTACGCAATTGTATTGCACATCATGTATATTAGTGAGGTAGTTAAGGTGACTGAGAGTATGAAATGGCAGTAGTATTGCACAGTAGAAGTCCAGGGGTTTGGGAAGTTAGATTATTAAATCAGTGCATGTGTGAGTTCAGTGTGGTGATGGCTTTCGGGAAAAAACTGTTCTTGAATCTGTTTGTTCGTGTTCTGATGCACCTGTAGCGCTTCCCTGAAGGTAACAAGTCAAACAGTTCAAAACTCGGGTGTGAACAGTCCTTGATTATGCTTTCTGCTCTGCTGAAACCTTACGATTAAGAAATTTATGAACTAATCTAATAAGCAAACTTACTCAAACCCTATTTGTGATTATTATTTATACACAGTGTGTAATACTGCAGGAGATACGATTTTATTCAGAAAAAATATATAATAATTTGTCTCAATGTACAGTTTTACACATCTGTTTACTGAGAAATACAGTCAAGCAGAATAAACCAGTTGCTAAAAGCTGTCTCTAAAATACAAATATTTTTTGCAGCCTAGGTAACTTGGAAGTCTATTGACTATTAACCTGATAAATACATAATTTATTGTCTTTTTATAGACTGTTTGTTTTAAGAGCTTAAATGTCATGATACCACCTTATCTGTCTGAACTTTTATATCGTCACACTCCTACCAGAGCTCTAAGACCCAAATTCAGCTCGTGTTAGATAATCCCAGATCTGCTCCAAACGAGAAGTGACAGATGGTTTCATTGGGAGCTACTGGGACAGTTCGCCTTTGCATGTGAGAAATGATCAGCGTGTAACAAAAACTTATTTATATGCACTATAGCTTTTAGTTTCATTTGAGAAGGACACCTTAACTTTTACTGTGCAAATATTTTTTTTTGCTTTTATATTAATTATTGATATTGTTTATTGTTGTACAGTACATAGGTTAACAAAGGATGTTTAATTAATGTGTTTCAAGGTTTTTAAAAAAGGATAGTTAGCAAAAGTAGGCACAAAAGGATTGCAAACAAATAAAAAGCAATTTGCAAACAGTTTTTCAATAAGAATGGACTTAGTTTGAATAAAATACAGAGTAAATATGTGTCAGATATATACTATCTATCAATATAGTGACTGCACAGTTGCACAGTACAAAGTATTTTTATAAGATATGCATTATTACAATAAACCAGAATAAAACCATTGGAAAACCAGGAATTCTTTGCTCTTAGTGACATTTAGAAATATTTTTTTCCTGCAGGACCATTCGAAAAGTCATCTAAGTCACAAACCTGCTCGGACCCAGAAGACTTTTAAAAACTAATGAAACCTCATGTCTCATATTTTGGTCTATGGATGGAGCTTGTCGTTAATTTGGGAATCAAACTAGGCATTTGAGGGAATTTAAACTAAATTGTCTTTAACTAGCAACAGATACAGTTCAACTCATTCATTCATACATTAACATAAAAAAAATGTCTTGAATGTTATATTAAATTTACGTCTAATACATTTAGTTGATTAGGTCATTTTATTTAGGTAATGTGCTCTGGAAGATGCAAAGTAAAATGTTTGTGTTCTCCAACTACAATGCCGCTAACCGCTTCAAACGCAATGATCCCAAACTTCTCTTGAAATCTAAATGTAATCTGAAAGTGGTTCACATCAATGTGCTCTTATCTTATCTGCCGAGCCTCACAATTGTTCATTGGTACTGAAGTAATTTCACTATAGGAAGATTCCAGCAGGTGGCTGTTTGAATCCACGAAGGGGCTGGTTGGCTAGCTTGCTTGCTGACATACTGACTGGTTAGGAGTGCCAGTCAGGAGAGGTTTTATGACGTTCACTACTGATCAAAGTCTAAATGTGGGCCTCAAACAAGCGTCAGACCATCTGAGCTTTTGGGCCTGACCGCCTCCTGGCTTTTCACTGGCTCTCCTGTTGTGTCTGTCTGGTCTCCCAATTTCTCCAACAATGAAGACTGAGCTGAGCTGACAGTGGAGCTCATGTCCCACCACCAAAATGGACATACCTGGTTATTACCCACAGCCACTAGTCCACCAGTCTGGTAACTATCCACAGGATCTGTTAGTATTGGAGGGATCAGCAACACGTAAGTGCACTGAGGGGATATCACAGGATATATTCTAGGACACATGTTAGAAATGTTAACATTCCATAAATATGTCTGCGTTTAAAAGGCCATGTTCTGGCAGATGTATGTACTCGTTTGTTTATATGAATGTGTGTAAATATTCATTTTGTGCCGCTGCATATGAAAATCATCATACAGAAGAACAGAAGTTTAGGAGTGGGTCATCGTCGTGTTTTAGTTTTTCATTTTTGGTAGTCTGGTTCTGGGAATTATATAAGGTTCATATCAGCAGTCATAGTCGAACAAATCAGGATGAATGATAAGAAACTGTCTGCAAGAGAGGGACGGTCTCAGATTGTTCAACAGCTGAGCAATAACTCCTAATACATGACACATTAGTCATTTTTTAATTTCATTTTTAAATATTTGAATATAAATCAGAGCATTTTGGTACAATGCTTCCATGTAGCATTATGCTTTAGATCAAAGTTTGAAAGTTATCATCTCCAAAACACACACACACACACACACACACACTGACAAAAATATCCTACAGGATTTTATGACATTTTTTCCCATCCGTTCAAAACATTACAATAAAATACACTTTACAACCATCTCGTCTTCTCAAAACGTCCATCAGTGGTTTCCACTTGAAGTTATGTTTGTTGTAATGTTAGTCATTTTTTAAATTATTATTATTTAACCTGATTGTTGTTGCTTTTTAGCTCAGGAACCAAAGTCCGAGGCAGCCGGCAGGTCAGAGCCAGAGGAGCGCTGTCCTGTTTGTGGTGACAGAGTGTCAGGATATCACTATGGGCTGCTCACCTGTGAGAGCTGTAAGGTAAGGAAGAAGGCCTTGACAGTAAATTTATCATTTACTTCTGAATTAGGACACAAGTTGCCTCACTGTGATAATAGAAAGATAGATAATGAAATGTATGATAAAGAAAGATATAAATGTACAATTTAAATTTTCACTTTGGACCATCTGGTAGTTTTGAGGATGAACCAACAGATGAGCAGTGTCTCTCCTTCTCATGCAGGGTTTCTTTAAACGCTCAGTGCAGAACAACAAACTCTACACTTGTGTAGACCAACAAAGCTGCCCGATGAACCTTTCTCAGAGGAAACGTTGTCCTTTCTGCCGCTTCCAGAAGTGTTTGGCCGTAGGCATGAAGAGAGAAGGTACGTTTCACTTTTCCCTTTGCATAAAGAATATCAATTCTGTCTTGGAACTTGAGTTTTGCTTCTTTGTGACATGCTTGTTTATTTCTGCCTCATTAATTATCAGTTACATGTGAAGATTTTTTTTTTTATTGTTGAATGAACAAGTCCTGGAAAATAAAGTGGACTTGTTCTTGTTTACAAGTCTACTATCAGTCAGCTATCACTGGCAAAGCTTGAAGTGCTGTGATAAACCCAATAAACTGTGTTTTATGTTCTGCCATCAGCTGTAAGAGCAGACAGAATGAGAGGAGGCAGGAATAAATTTGGACCTTTTTACCGGAGAGACAGGCAGATAAAACAGTTAAAGGGAAACACTGACCCCTACAGGATAAAAATGGAAACTACACAAACATTAAGTCCCCAATCACCAAATCCTCACCTGCAACGAATGCATCCAAGTGATCCCTCATCTTCCAATGCTTTTCATCTCTCCCACATTATGTATTCATCCGGCATGGGACAGTCAACTGAACCCATGCAAATGGACGCTATAATGAACAACCACAGAGTGCCAACTCCTCCATCCATGCCTTATCATGAACTGTACTGCACTTTTCCTGGACACCCGCAGGACAAAGGAGAAATGGGGTTTGGCTACAACTCAACTCCCACACACCATCCAATGTATTCAACCCCAAATAATGTATTCACACCAAGAAGCACGCCTTCATCTTCTCCCTGTCCTGCACCAAGCTCAGCCACTGTTCTCTCCCAGGCTCCATCCATCCCTCCATCGGACATTTTTACTCCAAACTTTCTTAGTCAGCTCCTGAAAGGTGAGCAAGATGAGGCCCAGCTGTGTGCCAAAGTCCTGGCTAGTCTGCAGAGAGAGCAAGCCAATCGGGGGAAGCATGACCGCCTAAATACGTTCAGCATCATGTGCAAAATGGCTGACCAGACTTTGTTTGGGCTTGTGGAGTGGGCCAGAAACAGCAATCTGTTTAAGGAGCTCAAGGTAAAGACAAAACCTTTTTTGTTATCATTCTGAAGTATTATGATTTACTTCATTGCTCATCAGAAGCAGGATTTGACAAATAACATTTTGTCAAATTAGTCTTATAATTAAATTAATGCTTACAGGGTCAGTGGAGGTAATCTTTAATTTAAGCCATTCTTGGCATGCTGTTGCTTCTCACAGGTTGAAGATCAGATGGTGCTTTTGCAAAGCTGTTGGAGTGAGCTGCTGGTCCTAGATCACCTCTGTAGACAAGTCACTTATGGCAAAGAGGGCTGTATATACCTGGTCACCGGTCAACAGGTAAGGTATACCTGCTGGACAAAATGCTGCATTGTTGTGCACAACAAAAATATGAATATTTTATTATGCATTTAATTTCGTTGTAATTACGAGCCCAAGTAAATATCCAAACCGTATGCTTCATTCTGATACAGATTGAGGTGTCAACCATTACATCCCAGGCTGGACATACACTAAGTAGCTTGGTAACAAGAACCCAGGACCTTGTTTCTAAACTTAAGGCACTTCACTTCGATAGACATGAGTTCGTTTGTCTTAAACACCTTGTTCTTTTCAACCCAGGTGAGGCAACTTTTTTTTTTTTTTAAACTACCGGTATATTTGCCATAATAAAAAAGGTTTAATTGTAGCATCTGGACCCTTTTTTTTAATTGTCCCCTGTCCAGAGGACTTCCTCAGTCTATGGCCTTCCAACCAGATCTGTCATCATGTAGAACAGTCAAATGTTTTAGGTCAGATCTGGCTGTTGTACATGATGACTGTTTTGGATGGGTGTGTTTCACACATTAAAAACCTACTTCTGAGATTCCAACAGGAAGTTGACTGGAAACACAGCAGTGAAGGCTACCTATGGGAACTGGCTGGCAGGCTGTTGACTGAGGAAGTCCTCTGGATGGGGGACAAAACATTTCTCACTTAAACTGGTCCAGATTACATGATTTATTATCTACCTTGATGATTGAGCTTACATTTTTAAAAATATTTGCTATGCAAAATAAAGCCATATGTAGCTTTTGGAGCAAACACATTATTTGGTTCTTTTGGTACTTCACCAACATGAAAAAGGATTCAATTTTTTTTTAAATTTAATTATTGTTATTGTGTTTTCTGACTGTGTAAGATGTGAAATCTGTGAAAAGCCGAAGACAAGTGGAGCAGACTCAAGAGATGGTAAACAGGGCCTTAATGGAGCACACCCAGTGGAATCATCCAGGACAGTCAGACAAGTTTGGCCAGCTGCTTCTCCGGCTACCCGAGGTCCGCAGCATTAGTTTGCAGGTCGAGGACTATTTGTATCAACGCCACCTTCTTGGAGATTTACCCTGCAACTCCCTACTTGTAGAGATGCTACACGCCAAGAACAACTGAAAAGGTGTTGAAGTGAGACACTAGAGTGGTCCAAGTTTGCTGCTGTGAATATTTGTTCCAACTTCTTACAAATTCAGCAGTCCAGTTTGCTTTCACATACAGAAAGTGAGGGGAATACATCCAATCAAGGTGTTCCAAGAACACCTTTAAAAGGCTCAATATGTAATTATACTGTGCCAAGCTTTAAAAAGCTTTTAATAAACAGTATTATCACTAACACCCCGTAATCTGTAGCAGTGTTAAGAGATCTGAGACCAAAGCAATAAAAGGTTTTACTTGCATATTAAGAGGAAAAATAGTCACAATAAACAGTATTAATCAAATTAACTTGGTGTCTGCATGTTTGTGTCTACTCATAACAAACTCTGCCTCTGCAAGAGAATCGTTTTCCAGATGTTTAGTCCGCAGAGGACATTTACCCACACAAATCTCACCCATTTCAAATTCTAACATAAAAATGTATATGGTGAAAACAAAAAATGGTGATGAAAAACAGATGTGGATGAATTAAAAAGAAACATTTTATTTTTCTGGTCCAGTCGCCAAGGACAGTCATGTGATGAAATGAACATACATAATGTGCTGGCACAGATTGGAAAACAAAGGAGGAACAAAAAACATGACAACTTCAATGAAATGACAATTTGACACGTTGCCTCAAGGGGGAAAAAAAAAAAAGAGAAAAATCAAAGATCTTAAACTAAAACAATAAATTTGTCACAATTCAAGCACAAATAAATACATTTCTGGGATATGCAGGTATTACTCTGGAAAGAATTGCACTGAAAAGATGTTTACGACCACATCCTAGCTTTACAAATACCAAAATAAACATCCACTTTTTCTACACGCGCTCATCCACAAGAACTTCCAAGCAATCATTCAACTGTTTCTTTCTCATTAATCTTAACATAGTTTTTACAGAAACCCCTGTGGTAAAAACACCACATTTCCTGGAGGCAGTAATTATAAAAGAAGACAGTTTACTTGTGGCAACTGTTGTAGTCCTAACGACTAAAGGAGAAGTGGGCAAATTTCTAAAGATTGTTTCACCTTACTGATTTTATCATAAAAAACTAGGGTCAAGCTTAGTTTTATTTTTTTGCCTACTAGCACAGACATTAGGAGAATCAATCAAACAAAAAAAAAAATAAAATGGCCTTTTACATTCCCCTATTTATACATGGAGTCTCAAGGGACTTGGGGTAGATGAGGGCTGTTACAGTCCAGAATGATCCTTCATTAAGAAACCTACTGTTTACATGTCAGTACACATAAACAGGGAAAACACGTTAGGAAACAGGCTCACTTCATGGATTTATTCATCCTAAATCAAAACAGTTTTTCAGCTTTTAAACAATGTTACTCATTCTCATTCATTTTAATCTCAAACACACATCTCACTAATGCTTCAGCAGCAGCCTAGCTTATTTGTAACTTACAAAAAGTCAACCTATCGTTTTTTTTTTACAAATCATTGTCAAAATAGTGAACGTAAATCAGCATTCAGTATATATTAAACCAGCATTGATTATCATTTTCTCAAGGAGCAGTGTCCAAGTAGTAATGAACATGATAAAGCCCTCCATTTATTCTATGACAATCTCATATCAACGTTTCAACGAGAAAGCATGAAAAGAGGAAAAATCATCACACGAAATTTCATTCTTCATTCAGCTCCCAAGAACGCAATCTGGCAAGAAACATGTCAAAAAGTATAAAAAAACATCCAGATGCCTACAGCTGAAGGAGAGTTGAGGGGGAGTGCACATACTATGGGGTACAAGCAGTTTCTGGGTGTACACATCCATTAGAAAGCAAACTAGAAACCACCAGTCAGCCCATCAAGAGACCAGCAGTTATGGTGTTCTCTAGCCTTGCCTATACAGGGAAAACACCCCTGAGCAGAACAATAGTGTGTGCTCTACATTCATGTTACAGCAGTGTTATCTGCCAACTGAGATCTCCCTCAGAACTGAGATCTGAGCCATCCGTCTTCGTAGACTGACGAAGTGAGCCCTGGAAGAAGAAAAGGCAGCGAAAGGAGAAGTAGAGCTGAGAGGTGAACTACTAATGCCCAAATTACTGTTTTTTGGGCAAAGGCAGTGTGGCTGTCCCCCTTTTTTCTTACCAAAAAGTCACCAAAATGACTTGGGTATGGCAGGGTAAGGCAAGGCATGAGGCGGCAAGGGAAAAGGAATTATTTTTTTCTTTTTGAACCAGCTACATTACATTTCTCGAACTTAGTGAATCATCCAGAGCCTGTCAAAAGCTATGAAGATAACATTACTGTAAATACATTGGTTGATTGAAGTAGTGACTGACCCATTCTCTTAGCATGTACACTTGACTGAGGTGTTTTTCAGAGACCAGAGTTTTTCTAGATGATCAGTCACGCTGTCTGCTGCTAGTCTATTTAAACCATCTCAAGTGCCACACAGGCTAAATTACAGAATAATAATAATAAAAAAAAAGTCAAATTGGTGTTGATTTCCTGAATAGTAGCATCCTTAACCTATGTCCAGTAAGACTTTATTTGGGGGTGCTAAGCTTTTTGGGAGTTCCCGGGCGTTTCTGCCAAAAGTGTCCAGGGATGGTGAATGCATCAACGCTCATGGACATGGTTTTGGACGGGATGGCGGTGAACTGCTTGCGGTCAGAGCTGTACTTGTAAATGGACTCAACCATCTCAAGTGTGATCATTCTAGGTCCAATACCAGTGAGCCGTACCATCTCCTCAGTTTCAGGGTTCATGGTGTAAACTGCTCTGAACTGGCAACTGGAATCTCTGAAGAGGATGAGGAAGTGATTGGCTGTGCTGTTTTCCATGTCCTGCAGAATGAAACAACAGAAAAATGAGTGCTTTTTAGTCATGGTGCTGAGAACTTCTTAGATGAACTGTAAAGCAACAGCATAGTTTACCTCAACAACCTTGTTTTTCTGTAATTCATTGACCTTTCCAGCAAGGCAGCAGCGAGTGATGGCATTGTGGATGATGAACTTGTTGGACTTGAAGCTTGGTTCCTTGTATAGCTTTGGTCCTGGAAGACCAAACATGGAAAAGACATTGCTCAAATGTTTTAATTTAACAATATTTTGATATGCAACCTATCACAGACCTGTGTATTCTGGGATGGAGGATGGAGAGGAAATTGTAGAACCATTTTCCCAATCCCGTTCTCCGTTCTGAGCACTTCTTCGCCCTGGTGACATTAGCCGTGACCTGGACGGAGAGTGTGAACGGCTAGGGATAAAAAAAAAGGAAAAAGTTCAGCCACTAAGGTAAAATAGCTGAAGAATTCCACTGTGCTTTACTATACTTCCCCCTCAAGCTTCAATAAGGTACTGGCATCACAATGATGCAATTACTCAATTCAATGAAATGTCAAATTTAAAATAAAAATACATTTCCTTTGACATTTAATGTTTGTGGTGTTTAAGACTAAATTATATACCATCAATTGTCCAAAATCCTTTCTTAAATAAATCTAAGCATCATCAACACACAGGTTACCTTGGCGACTTCCTGACACTCAGACCTCCAGAGTCATTAGCCATAGAAGACAGGTTCATTGTTGAGTGAGAGTACACCTTGTTCAACCTAGGACCTGCACAGAAAACAACAGAAATGAAAGGAAATATTAAAAACAATGCAGGTGTAAACAAAGGGTGAGAAAATAACTTGAACGATACTGGTCAGAAATATTTACCAATGAAACCTTTGGCAGGGCTGTTGGACAAGACGGAGTCATCTCTAAACACAGTCTTGGGCCTTTGCTTCTTCACACCACGGACTGTGGTGGGCTTCTGCTTTAGCACTTTGTCCAAGTCTTCCATTATTTTCAGCTGATGTCTCCTCTCATACTCCTGCTTGGTGAAGTCCCCTCTGCGTTGAGGAGTCCCTTCTGCTGGTGGGGTGCGTGATGCTGGAGGGGTGATCGAGGTCTGGGGTGTGTCTTCACTCTTATTACCCCAGCCTTCAATGATCATCCACTGAGGCTTGCTAAACGTACAAGAAATTATGTTGAATTCCTGAATGTCAGAAAATTGTATTGCAAAACCATGTGCATTTGGATATATTAAAAATAATGAATTATTTAGCAGTACACCAATAAATCTTAATCATCACTGATATGAAGCAAAATTTTTTTAATGTTCATAGCAAACAAATTTGATCAAATTAACGTAGACATTTGGCTATGGCTATCTTATTAATTTGGTTATAAATACAGATATCCGAAAAAAAAAAATCAAATGTTACTTTGATTCTTTTTCTTTCTCCTGCTCAATTTTGCGTTTCTTCATCTCTTCTGCTCTTTTCTGCTGTTTCTCAAGTAAAACTGCTCTTCGCTGGGCCATCTCATCTTCTGTTCGATGCTTGACATCCTGTTGCAAACAAACAAAGAAGTCAGAACTGCGATCATTAAAACTTCCTTCTACAACCAAATATCCTGAAATGCTCAGATTTAGTTGCAGACCTTGAAAAAGAACCCAACTCCAGCTTTTGATTCTGGCTCCGTTTTGTCACTCATTGAATCAGAGAAAGCGTCAGGCACTTGATCATCCTCTTCGGTCTCTCCTCGCAAGGAAGATAATGAAATTTCTATCAAACTATTGTGTTTGCCATTCAACATTCCTGCAGGGACTTCACTATCAAAGGAGCACTCTGAAGGGGCACCAGAGCTGCAGCCTCCACTTGCAAGTCCTTCCTTTTTGAAAGGGCTATGTGAGGCCCCAGCATCAAGGTCCATGCTAAATATACTTTGTCCGTCAATAGATCCCACTTCTGAATGGTCATCATCTCCTGCAGGAAGAGGAGGTGGAGTAGGAGTCTGTATGGGTGTTAGTGAAGGTGTGGGAACAGGAGTAGGTCCAGAGGAGCGCATATCAGCCAGGTTATTAGAATCACCTATAGAGAAGGACAGTGAAGTCTGGACCTGAGTCTGAGAGGGATTTACCCGACGAAGATGGGGAATGCGATCCACATTTTGAGGCGGAGTGAGAACCCTGGAGAGGGTTGGGACCTTCGGATCCATTTGATGACTGTGTTTCGGACTTTTAGGGGGTACAGACTTCGCTCTTTTATTAACCCGAGGAGATTTTGGAGGAGCGGAAAGGTTTGAGACTTTGGGAGACGGTGATGAAGAGGAGGTCGAGTTTAAACCTCGAGTGGATTCTCTTGACAGGCGTGCAGGAGGAGCTGGAGTGGAGGTTTTAGGGCTGGCTGGAATAACCCAGGATTTGCTGCTGGACGTTTCAGGTTTCTTCTTGATAAGTTGATTCTGCTGCTGTGTCAGCCGCTGCATGTCACTTTGCAGAGAGGAAAGTGCTGCAGTTAACTTGGACACAGCATTATTATAATCACCTAATGGAGCAACCATTTTTTCACCAGGCGTCCCAGAACTTTTCTCCCCTGATATGTTTGCTTTGGTCTGATTGACCTCCGGTGTAAGTTCTCTTCTATTATTACTTCCACCTTCCACTGAGGGGCGCTGTTCCTTCTGCTCTTCTTCATTCATTTGAGCAAGCCTTTCCTCTAGATCCTCTTCTGCAGATGAGGCACCGACTTGACTACCTACTTTCTCCTCATCGTCTTCATTTTGCTCCGTTTTTAACTGCAGAAAGGCACTCTTCCCAAGTTTTTGTCGATGCTTTGTAAAAATGGCCTCAATGCGTTTTTTTTGGGCTTCTATAGCTTTGCGTTTTTCTTCAAGTCGAACCCCTAGCTCGGACATTTCATTATTGAGTTGTGGGCTCTTGCTTGGGCTTTCTTCAGACTTTTGTGCCCATGTGGTCATCTGAGGAGAAGAGGGGTTGCTGGCTTTAAGAGAGTCCATGCTTTGTCTCTTTTTACGTTCTGCAAAGTTAGTCATCTTCACTCCACTGTCATTCACCTCCTTACTATTACTACGAGCAGAGTATGGACCTGCAGCTGGTGTACTTGGAGTGGATTGGGCCTTTGGCATGTCTTCTAAGGCATCTGAATCCACACTACCATCTCTCAAGACCGAATCATCATCCCGTGAACATCCTGAGGCGCTTCTGCTGCGAGCTGGTTCCCTGGACTCTCCTTTAGGCTGGTACAACATTCTTGAATGTGTTGGGGCAGAGCAGCTGATGGGAGTCAAGCTGCTGTCATATCTAGAATTAGCAGGTTCATCAGGAGAGTGGAGGTAGAAGCCATCAGGAGCACCATCAGGGTGTAAACGGGGCTCCATCTTGTCCTCATTGTGAATAATTTGAAGAGCCTCTTCTATGGTAGGCAGCTCTCCTGTTTCACTTGTCCCAAGGCCATTTTCTTCTTCAAGCCTTGGAATAATGGGAGTCTGTGTGGCCCAAGATGCTCTTTGTGGACCGTTGGGTCCAGGGTGTTTACCAAGCAAATGGCTAAGGTCTTCAGCTGGAGTGTAGGGAACCTGGGTCATGCTTTGGCTTGCTGGATTGAGATGATCTGAGCTCACAGAGCGAGTTATGACGGGGTTGCCCATCACTATGTCCACATCACTATCCAGGCCAAAAGGAATGCTGAAGGATACTGCTGACAAAGGTCGGCTACAAAGAAAACAAAACAAGTTTAGGTACAATAAACTGTGTTTGCACAACACTTTATTTATTGAATGTGTAGGTTCTACCTGAGAGGCTTCTTGGTCCATGTCTTTCCAACTCCTTCTATATGAGACATTGAGGTAGACTGAGTCAAAGATCCTGAGTGCAATGGGACACACAAACATGTAAAGGCATGCAAACCACACACAAGGATGCACAAACAACTAAACACACCAGATGGTTTGGAAATTATGAAACATTTTCAACATCTAAAAGTAAAAAAAAAAAAAAAAAAAAAAAGTAAAACTGACAAAACAGAACTTAAAAACAAAGATTAAGAGCAAAAAAATTTGTTACTTGACAAAGTGGTCATATTACCGGATGCAGAGGAAGAAATTGGGAGGAATGGCTTCTTAAATATTGAAGGGGATGTACTGGAAAGTAGATAAATATCCTTTTAGGTAAAACAATTGTTCAGTGATATGCCAGACAACTTTACAGCTAAATCTAATTCACAAAGACTTTACCTGCTACCACTCAAGCTAGTTGGTGTTACTGGAGTGGATCCATCTTTAAAAGAAGAAGAATAAAAATCTATTTAATAAATTACAAATACCCAATGCCATCTTAAAGACGCACACCATTTGCAAGAGACCACAAATCAGTGGTGCTTACCTAAAGTGTCTATTGGCTGAAGAAATTCTGGTCTTTGTACTTCAAACCACCAAAGCAGCTCTGACAGGAAGCTCAGAAAATTGAGCTAAAAGATTTACACATTATAAATTAGATACATTTTCCATATTGTGCCATTAGATTATTTAAGAAGTGAAACTGAGGAAGTACCTGAAGCTCCTGTGGTGCATACAGCATGTCTTCAAGTGTTAAGTGACAGCAACCTTTCAGACAGCTGTCACAGAATTCACAGATGAATTGCAGGTTGCACAGGTTGTCTGCCACAGACATGGTGTCTTTCATACAAACATCTTACAGAGAGGAAGAAAAGTGTGAAACAGATGTAACTTATGTACTGATAAGCCATTCTTTTGACAATAAAAAGGTTTGTTAGTACCTTCAAGTCTTAGTAACCCTGGGCAATAATAATGTATGACTGCAGCAACAGCACAGCCACTGGACAGATCCTTCACGTCATTCACTACAGGAAAGATGGGCTTCACTTTGGACTGAAATTGATCCTTTCTGTAGCGGAGCTTCAAAATGAACATTAAAGAAAATTAGTATTGTGACAACAATAAAAACTTACTTCAATTTGATCTACAAGTTAACATTAACTGACAAAGTCAAGCTTTTACAAACTGGACAAGTAATCTTCAAATGTTCACACAGTGATACATGATGTTAAGAATTACATTATGCATGACAAAAAGGACAAAGAAAAGATCATGCTAAGGACGTTTTAAAAAGACTGAATATAGATGAGCTAAAGGCAGATGCAAAGGGAATGACTGAATAGGAGCAAAAGTGAGTTTAATTAGGAAAAAGTGGGTCAACTGAGAATTTCGAGAAAATGAGAGAGAGAGAGAAATATAAAAAAAAGGAGGTCTTGGATTGAAAGAAAACATTTCAGGTAAAAATGCACCATACAAACAGCCTGCTTCCAACAGGGAGCAGTTCAGCAGTTGCATGTCTTTGTTAATCCCAATCAAAACACAGCTGCTTTGCCACACACACTAGAGAAACCAGTTGTGTATGGCATTTTGAAGTCCTACCTATTTAACTGAGTCATGCACCACTCGAGTTTTCACATCAATGCCTTTGACCTGCAGCACTGTTAACTTTAACACTGTTAACTCAAATGTCATTTGATGCAGAGAAGGATTCAACAAACAATGCAGTCTCAACCCAGGACATGGGAAATTAAAATAAAAACAGACCTGATCATATGTTGGCTGAGAAATTTGATGAAGATAGTGGTGGGATGGAGGGAGAGGGAGAGGAGGCAGAGGGAAGGAGGGAACTTACAGGAACAAGTTTCCAGTACCAGCGAGTAGGACACTGTCAGAGTAGAAGAGGAAATACCAGAAAATAGAAAAAAAGGGAAATGGAGGAGCACAGGGACATATATTAAGCCAACAGTGGAAGAACAAGACAAACTGGAGAGGGTTGTGATGACAGAACACTCTTGGAAAAAGAAGGAAAAAACAATTGATTCAGCCATCGTTTGTACGTTCTACCAAATATTTTAAAGTGTCTTCTGTTAATTCTAAGGCCTATAGAATGCAGTCAACCAAAAATATGAGCTTTATGTGCCTCATATTGAAGATTTACTGTATATTTCTTCTATATTGTTTTTATTTCACAATTAGTGGAAACCTGCAGGAACACAACAAATGTTCAAATAGCTCCATTCTGGACTGAGCTTTATACAGCAATAAAGGCATATTTCATACCTATTAAAAGCATGGATATGACAAATGCCAGGAAAATTGATAAAAAAATAAGTACATTTCTAAATATTATATCTAATTAGTTGAATATATATATTTTTTTATAGGGCTTTAAGTATTTAATCTTAAGAACAAAGCTTTTTTTTTTTCAAATATGCAAAAAAAAAAAAAAGTTTGGGTTATCATAATCCCTCACAAGAATGAATAGTTTTTTAACAGAATCAAGGGAGTCACCCTCCCTTGATTCTGTTAGTCATCACTAAAGCTCACCTTGACTCCACCTGAAGTCAGGAATTCACCTCCCTCCTAATCCCCATGCAGCTGCTACTAGAACATTACACTTGCTGTACCTGAGGCCACCTGTTTTGCAACAGCAAAAGTAGCCACAAAAAACAAAATATCTGATCACACCTACTATTGTTTGTGCCAGCAGATTTGCCTTACCATTACAGATTTGCCATCTGTGCCTCATTTCATTAAAATAAAGCCCTGATGCGTAATACTGTCTTAAGGGTATGCAATACTCACAGAGGGCTCAACAGGTTGGAGCTCTGTAGCTTCCTGAGATGAGTCATTTTGGGTTCCTTCAGTACGTTCTCGGAGCTTCTGGTTTAACTGAGGGTGTAAGATGAGAACACAGAGGGGTTACAGTATATTGTGTGTAAAAATGTACAATATTACATTTAAGGATTAAAAAATTAAAGTAACTTCATTTGCGACACTAAATAGATGCTAGGTCATCATCAGCACAGGGCTGATGACACGTGACACTAAACAATGAATCATACCCGACAAATGATAACATATGCTTAAAACAAGTTTCTTTGCTTTGAACTGGTTCTTACCACATTAACCCAGTGAAATACAGCATCCTCCCATCTGGCAGCTCCACCCAGTAGCTCAGCAGAATTGCACATCTTCACTGCAGTCACCGTCTCCATGGCTCCTATTGTCATCAAGGCATCTATCAGTGCCAGATGAGCACTCTGCACCAAGCATAAGGCAGAAAAAAATAAGCAGGAACTTAAGGTCAGAGCCCAGACTACAATCAATCAAATTTAATTTACAGTTTGACAATTTATTTCTATAGTAACAGAGCTCAGTTAACTGCAGATAAGATTGTGGTCTGGTGCTGCTGTGCCAGTCTTCACCAAGTGGTATCCTCTAGAGGTCACTAAAAGCCAGCTCTGTCTGGACTTCCCAGCCAGTAAAACAATCATCAGTAGATGTGGGTGAACTTTGGACCTGTGTTGTACACTCATCATAATCATTAAATAGCAGGCAGATCTGTTAAATGATAACGCAAATATCCTGGAAGTATCCCTCCTTAGTTATTTTCCCTTTGTTTACAGTTTCTTTAGCCAATTATTTTACTTTTAAAGCATGCATCCTTAAGAAATATTTCAAGGTGCAAGATAAAACACAAGATATATTAGAAACCTGTAACTACATCAACCAAAACACACAACACAAGAAAAGAGAAAAAAAAATCTACAAGAAATTGCAAATAAAATACAAACATACCTGTCCCTGTATTCTTTTCTTGGATAACAAACAACATAAATAGAACTATGGTTATATTTTTTACAACATGAATAGAAAAAAAAAAAAAGACATCACATTGACACCATAACCATTAGAAGCCCAGGTGACAAATCACAAGACATTTTCAAATAGCCAGAGCCTATTAATATGAACCACCTATAGTAACAGCTCAGTTAAAGTGAATACTTTAATTCTTTAAACCCGTTAGCTCATTAGAAGTTATGCTCCGTTTGTTCCACGAGGCTACAACCAGCGGTGCTTCATTGGCCTAATCTTTGATTAACATACTGTTAAAATATTACACCCATCTTAATGATCACATCATCGACTGAAAATGTGCATATTCATAGACTAAAATTTTTGCAATTTTTATAACCCTTTTCATTATTACTGACTTGTGCTGTGTTTTTTAAACTTCAATCATTGGTTAGTTTTTTCTGATTTTAGAAACCACGTATTGGACCTAAACCTATAACACCAGTTAACACTGAAGGAGGAAAGGCAACCAAATGGTCTTGAAAATTAAAGTTATTTACAAGAAACATTTTTTTCTAAAAGAAATAAAACAAACCTCAGATTTCTTTGTCGAAGTATCTTCCATTGATATGTAATGCCTCTCTGTGTCGTATCTTTACGTCTTTTGGTTTTTGTATTTTTAGTAGCCAATGAAAATCAGCAGCAGGGTCATTTTTCTGACTATTGGCTAACAGCAGCAAATGCCTTGCAATAACAATTCACTCTGGCCAAGATGGAGTCAGACAGGTCACAAACACATTCCTGCCAAGAGGCCACTCATTTAATCTCCACTATACAATTTTGAACTTTAATCTGTGCAAAACAAAACCTGGTCCTTCTAACTACTTGCAAATTCCACCTTAGATGCCAGACAGACTTATTCCAACCTCTTTGTAGCCCCAGATAAGATCTGGTGGTATTTCAGCTGCATGCAAGTGCCCTGCATGCATGTCTGCCTACTCAACCCTGTTGTAAAATGCTGACTTGGGCAGACCCGGGGCAAGCTATGCCAGCAAAGCCTTGTCAAATACTACTAGGGCAAACTCTGTAGATGTACTAAAGTCATTCACCGGTAGTAATGTGACCTTAACTGTCTCGTTCTTCAACTATTGTTAAAGTAAAGACTGCTACTTGCTTGTCTGCGAGTTATGACTTTTCTTATGAAATGCATGTTCAAAAGATGGAACAAATAACAAGGAGCTTGAAATTTTTATATAATCTTCTATATTCTAATACTATTAAACAAAAAGATTTAATGTAAATAGATTGCCCATCATTCAATTTTTGGGATGACAATAGTTGTCATGTGTTATGTTGTATTCTACTTAAAACTCCATCCATCCATCCATCCATCCATCCATCATCTTTGCCTTTTTTCCTTTTCAGGTTGCAGGGGGTCACTGATGCCATATCCAGCTATCACTGTGTGAGAGGCGGGGTACACCTTGGACAGGTCTCCAGTCCATCACAGGGACACAGAGGCAAACTAGACAAACAACCATTCGTACACTCACTCACACATCTATAGACAATTTAGAGTTACCAATCAGCCTAACATGCATGTTTTTGGTCTCTGGGAGGAAACTGGCGTACCCGGAGAAAATCCACACATGCACGGAGAGAACATGCAAACTCCACCCAGAAAAATCCACAGCTGGGATTAAATCCGGCAACCTTCTTGCTGAGAGGTGGCAGCTCTACCAACTGTGCCACCGTATCCTACTTAAAATTAAAAAAAATAAAAATATTTTTAAAAAAAATACAGAAATAATGCTATGAGTATTACATCAATATTAGTTTCAACAACTTTGTTTAAAACCATCTCTGTAAAAGCATAGATGTGCTTTTAGCTACATTTTAAATGGTAGCAACACATGTGTGCATTTAGTTAAATGTTGCAATTTCATTAGCAATGTGCCAAGTAATGGGATGACAGAAGAACTGTATGGCAGACCTAAAGAAAAGAGTGAATAACTGCTGTGCTGTCATACTGTAGTAGAATAATTATTCATGGAAGAGAGTACAGGGTGATTCAAACAAACAAACAAAAAAAAAGAAGCAAAATAAGGGAATGGGAAGTCACCAGTAGCTTTCCCCACTGCAGACCCAAGGGAGCTTGCTAAGCTAAATCACAAGGCTCTCTAATGAGTACAGAGAGGAGCCACTCGAACACACAGCTCTGAGCCCGCCAGATCACCATAACAACCAACCAGATGACCCACAATGCACCTCAGAACAAGCCTGACTGCAACACCGATCTGTGCTCCTGGTTTAATCCTGGTTTTCAGCTCAGAGACATCCAGCACTGGTATCCGAGTAAAAATTAACATTTCATCAACTGACCCCTTGAACTAAAATATGAATGGCCCTTTGTTGGAAAGCTGCTTACATTATTACCTCAACATTTTAATTTCAAAAGAGAGCAAAGCATCTTGTTGATCATTACACAAGATTATGATGAGGGTAAAATCTGATTATGTTTGAAATATGATTTAACCCCATCCCCCCTACCCAGCCTTGTTCCTGCTGGTGGGTAGACAAACATGGGGATCAAGCAGGACGGGGGCCCAGCAAGGGATTTTTAAAAGTAGGTTAATACTCATATGGACATCAACTGGATGTATGAAAAGAAAAGAAAAAAAATCAGCACATATAGATTTATACTGCATTTGTTTACACCACAGTTCAGTTGTCATGAATAAATATGTTTCAATTAGCAAAGGCCTAAAGCTAAACTAATGGTGTAAGAGGATGCTGGTGTTTTTAATTGTCTGCTACTTCAGATAAGTTCTTGAAAGGCGTTTGCTTGGCCAGAAACCTGCCAACACAGCAATATTATTTAAGACTGTCACACTATCCAAAAACAAACAAAACAAAACAACAACAACGACGACAGCAGACCTGGAGGAAGGCTAGCTATATTGTAAGCTACTTTTGCCACAGCAAAAATCCATATTTAGGCCCATCATTGGTGAAATCACTAGTGTCTTTTTCTACAGCCTGTTCAAGGTGCGACTCTTGCATGCTTTGTTTCAACCACCAACACTTGGCTGTTTCAACAAAAGCCCCAAGAATAAATTTGGCATGGCAAGCTAAGCTGACTAGACAGAAATGCTCTTAAATGACAAGTCTATGCTGGCACTAGTTTGAAGCACACACCAGCAGTTTAACAGCTTGATTTGATTTAAAAAGGGTAAGCACAGTAAATACAAAAAGTGCTGTAATCACACATTTAATTTGAGACATGTTAGGGTGCATGACGAGTCACTCTTCTTTGGCAGGTCAACCAATCATGAAAGATGACATTCAGTCTGGATACAAGATTATGTCTAATCTTTAAAGATCTCTACCCTCAATCTGAGGAGTGATGGGGGATGGGCCTCTGCCTGAATCAGGAGGACACAAAATCAATGACCTCGAAAACAATAAATAAAACACTAATGTGTCACAAAAGGTGTAGATGCATCAAGCTAAGCCAATGTGACAATAACCAGCATTTGTAAGGGTTTTAGTGATCTGATGGAGTCTGGATTTAAGCATCAACCCAATTTTGCAGTTTTAGTAAATGGCTGTAATGGTACAAGTTTTGTCTAGTACAAACTACACACTCAAATATGGCAGAGCAAATCATTTAGCAGCACTGTTCACATGGTGGTAAAAAGCATGGGCACCATGCACCGTGCTATCCTCTAAGCTTTAAAAATGTCATTTTTTAATAAACAGTTCTGTAGCAGACTACTGCTGCTACAAAGCTCTTTTACTGGCCAGGGCCCACACTGATGCTCTATCTGCAGCATGACCCACTTTCATTGCTTGCCACACAAGCCGCGATGCCAGTCACTGGCAAACAAACTCCAAGAGCTGTTAGTGACTGGAAGGATCATACACAGAAGTAACAAACAGTAAATGCAGCATTGGCTGCAACAGCCGAATAAGAGTTTAAGGATTAGAATTTAAAGCTGAGATGAGTAATGGTTAGAACTATAAAACACAATCTAAAAATAAAAAACAGATTGGGGGGAAATAAATTAATGGACAAAAGAAATTAAAGACATCGGGCATGACTGACATCCAAGTCATTCAGCTTTTAATGGTGGTGCAGAAGCAATAAGGATGGCAATTTTTAACATCAAAACTACACATGTATTTAATCCCCTTCGTGGTCTTTATTAAAAACATGTTAGCATGAACTGATTTGTAGTGCAAAGCTATGATCATGCTTCCATAAATGTTAAAAAGATTGACATATGATAGAGAGAAAGAATGTGTGTGTGTGTGGGGGGGGGGGGGATGCAAGAGAAAGAAAATGTGAAACAAAATAGGGATGAATCTGTGAGTGTGATTAGGTGAATAAGAAGCAAAGTGCTTGGTGTGACGTTATCGGGGTTTGAAAGCTTCATGAAAAAAACGTATTCAACAGGACAAAAAGAGGATGAATGTGACAAACTAGGCAAAGTGTGTTATATTATATTCACACTAAAATTATTAAAAGCAAGTAAAAATATAAATAAAATACTGAAAATTACAGGATGAGGAAAAATAAAAACAAATCCCCTTTAAGAGAAACTGGCTTCATTACCACTCTTCCTGAATTGTTGTATTTAAACGAAAGCAACAAGGATCCACATTTTCTAGCTCAAGTTGGCACATCATTACAACACTGTTTCCGCAGTACAGTACCGACTGCAGAGCTTTTGCAAAAAGCTGCAGAGGAGAAAGGATTGTTCACCCAACTCCCTTCTGAACAAACCCCAGAAGCGTCAATATGCTGCGTTTCAAAAACAAGCTACAGTAAGTTGGAGTAAATTGCATCATAACAGGAAAAATATCATATACGATCAGATGGAAAAGCTCTCTTTTCAATCATACATACAGTAATTCTATATTTGGAGACAACTTTATTGGAACTATATTGTGGTGCAAGAAACACAGAAGCATACAGAACCTCTTGTGCAGGACTAAGAAGACAAACCTGTTTCTCTAGAATGAACTCACTGAGCCAGCTAGGTGTATTCACTCAACACAGCCTCTTAAGTTTCACTAGAACTGTTTAGCCATTGTTTTGATCCGGATCATCTATTGTAGATAGACTCGGTCTCCCTCTCACACCCTGAAAGTAAAGTAGTCATGTGATAGTCTTGCCTTTGCAGCTGGAACCACTCACCCTGAGATCAGTTGGGAAAATGTTGGGGGTTGGGGGGAAGGACTGAATGAGTAGGGGTCTTTTTGATGTCCTTTAATCCCTGGAATCAAAGCAAACAGGGCCCTGTATATACAGCCTTCTGGATATCAGAAAATCTGGTCACAGTGGATAAACAAAGTAAAAAAATCTAGATAAACCAAGCTTTGCTTCAAATGATTACCATCCAGGAAATAACCATCTATTCGCTGCTATTTATAAAATTTTATTTAAAAAAAAACTGGTCTAAATATATCTTGGATATACAATGAACAACAAGTGGGCTTGCACAGAGGATGTGGTGGAAAATGTCTACATACATTATGTTGAATATATGATTATGACATGGATTAAAGCAGAGAAAAATCTTTTGACAGAAATTTCTTCTACACCTAGGAGGTGTAGAAACCCACCCGCCTCATGAAGCACCATCAAGACCATATAGGCCTGGAGCCTTCTGGGTGGAGTTTGCATGTTCTCTCCGTGCATGTGTGGGTTTTCCCCAGGTACTCCGATTTCTTCCCACAGAACAAAAACATGCATGTTAGGCTGACTGGTAACTCTAAATTGACCCTAGGTGTGAGTGAGAGAGTGAATAGTTGTTTGTGTCATTTGTCTCCGTGTCCCTGTGATGGACTTGTGACCTGTCCAGGGTGTACCCCGCGTCTCACACAGTGATGGCTGGACGTGAGCACCAGTGACCCCCTCGACCCGAAAAGGAAGAAGTGGGTAAAGATGGACGCACGCACGCACATCTTCATGAAAGGTCAGGAGGTTCTGTTAGGGTAGTGGGGTGTCCTCCATGACTTGCTGCAGGTGAGCTTTCAGCTGCAGGTGAGCTTTCAGCTGCAGGTGAGCTTTCAGCTGCAGTTTCTCTCCGCTTCTCACACCTGGGCTCACTGTGAACCAGACAGCAGGACCCACCCTGCTCTGATTAGGTCAAACTGTGTGTCTGGTTCTCTTTACTGGTTTGAAAATAGCATCAGTTTAATTCCTGTATCATCATAAGTTTGGATGGCTTTACCAGGACCAAAACAAAACTTTTTTTTTTTTTTTTTTTTTAAACAGATGACGGCAATCCGCCCTGGCCATGTTCAAAATGATGGAAATTCATTGCAGCGATGGAGATTTTTAATCACTGTTGAGGTCATGGTTTGCTGTTTCTATTGCTTTTATTTTGGGGGGTGGGGGTGGGGGAGTGGTGCAAGTTGCATGAAAAATGCTCAACAAATACAGTTGGATTGGACTGGAGACTGATTTATATTAGACATTACCATTTTGATGGGCTTTCGTTGAAGGTCTGCATCCGTCACTGTTGCCTCCTGGTCTTTGGCGACTACGCCTCTCTGACGGAGGAGTTGAAGCAGGGCGGCATTGTCTTTGGGCTGGGCCTCGGCTCCACATAATATGCTGTAGGTGCGACAGTACAGCTCTGAGGACTGCAGAAGGCGTGTGACTGGAGGTTTAAGGTGCTCCTGTTCATACTGGTCACAGTAGAAAGGGTTACGCAGCTCTGTAGGGACATTTTCTATCAAGAAGAAAAAAAAAAAACATACCAGGTTAGAATAATAAGTTTTTTTAAATGTTTTTCTCAAAGTCATTGTGAAGAAAGACTAAATGATAAACGTTAAAATGACTGCCAAATACTGTGAAAACATATTCAGTTAGATTTCCTTAAACCTTTACAAAGACTCCCAAAAATAAAGAAATAAGACAAAAGAACCAAAACTAACAGTTTTCAAATAGGTTTCCTCAGTTTGCAAAGTTAAGAATTGGCAAAAAAAAAAAAAAAAAAAAAGGACTCTGGAGGTAGAGCTTCTCGTTATGTTGTCGCAAATAGGCTAATCTAAAACCCAGGTTGACGGGTAAACACCTTCCAGGAAGATTCAAGACACTTTGGAGAAGTAGTGCACCATTTTTCTTAGCAACTTGCTCACACATAAAAAGAAATGTCAGAAGAATCATGCATCCCAAGCAGAAAAAAAAAAAGAATCAGGCATTTGTAAATAAAGTTAGCAAGCCTATTATAAAATGAACAAAAAAAAATGTAGCAAAGAGATGATTTTATGGATTTTTTCCCCCACTATAAAGACCACAAGCATACTAAAATATAAGGAACCAAAGCATTTTTACTGAGAAAGCAACTAAAAATACACAATAAATAAATAAAACTTTGCTGGCAAACATCACCTGCAAACATCATTTGTAAAATGACTTAACAGAATATATATTCTGCAGATGCCTCAAAATCCAGTGGGAGGTCTGAGCAGAAAGTTTAAAAGTTTAGCCATGATAAATCAGGTGCTCTTGGTCATAAGTTATGATAGAAAATGGCTACTCAAGTAAAACTGGTATATATTTCTCTGTGTTTTAAAAAGCTTCTTACAAAAAAAACAAACAAACAAAAACAACAACTAATTTTATAATAATAATAAACAACGTACAATAAATAATTGCTGTAGAATTCTTCCCAATTTGGATGAACATTTTATGTCCTATTTGTCCAACAAGACATGTTGAAATAAATAAAATAAAAGAATGAACACCTGTTACGAATCACCTTGATGGTTTACTCAAAGACACAGCATGAGTTAGTTTTCCTGCATGCAGTCACAGTTTAACCGTGAGTAGAGCAGCATTGAGGGCACTGGGCCACAGTAAGCCCTGAAGTTGGCATCTGTCCATTACATGATGCTCTACAATTGTCTTCTTTCCCTTTTTAAAAGACATGTTATGCCCTTTTTCACAAGCTGAAACAGCTTTTTGGAGGTCATGAAATATTTCCCAAAACATTAGGTCAAAATACTATTAAAACAAACAACAAAAAATAGCTCTTTATTTAAAGATTAATTTACTTTTTTTTTCAGAAATGCCAGCAATAAAACATTGAATCTGAGACTTCACCCTTATTTTGTTCAATATTTGTATTTTTTGAGATGTTAGTATTCAATATAACCTCTGAAGCACATAATTACAGCCTGAAGAAGCCTACAGCAGACACCCTAGGAGCCTATACGAACACACCTTATATACTTTTGTACTCTAAAATACTAACCCTTCAATCATTTGCAGTCGCAATAAGAACAGTTTGTTTTTTATTTTACAAGTTACAGTCTTGTTACAAGTCTTTAACAGATAAAGACCATGAAAACAGTGAACACAAACACCAAAGAAACTTAGCGTCCAGTTTGACAATAAAATGGCAGTCGCACTCAAATGAACCTGTAGCATTTTAACTCTATAAACCATTAAAGAAAACTTTCTGTTTGGATACTTCTAAATAGAAAACAATTACTTTTAGTTAATGTGTGCAAATGTTTAATTATATTGCTTTGTTAATAATAGGGACACTGTAAATGTCAAAACTGAATTTGTAATTTCCAACTCCCCATTAGCAAAAGATTAATAAAAACAGAATAGAAAAGATCATTGTGGCAGGTAGAAAAACCAATAACTCGTTTCAAGTTAAATAAATTGAGCACCTGCTCACGAAAACCTTTGATAACAGCAAATGTAAAAGCATTTTAATTATCTTTTTCTAATGGAATACTAGAGCAGCAGCACGATTTGTGACAAACCTGCCAATCTGAGCCATTAAAATGCAAACATGATCCTTCATTTCTGTTTCAACTTAAGAAAAGGGACATCACCTTTCTAGTGGTTGGATAAAAATAGCAAACAATCTTTCTGTAAATATGACCAACCCAGCAAACATTATTAAACAAACACACTTGACACACCCACTATGAAACTGGTTTATCCATCCTCCCTCCAAAAAACCTTTAGCAAGTCAGACTCTACTCTTAATATTCTATTGTTTAAAGGGCATTAAGAAATAAAACTGAAAGTGTGTCTTAAACAGAAAAAAATAAAACTTTATTTTTTGTCTAAAGCTGTAGATTATAAGAGGTGTTAAAAATAGTTAATATGCAGTCATGTAATGGATCATCGTGGGGTCAGCCACTAAAACAAACAGTCAATGCCCTGTTCTTCATCTGTATATTCACAAGTATAGTTTGTCTCACCATGTTTGATCATTTTTCGTTTTAAAACCACAACACTGCTCACATTAGAGCAATAATTACTTATTAGGTATGTGTAGTCAATGTACATGCAAAAGAAACAAGTCCCACAATGACGTGCTAGAAAAAAAAAATACAGTATATCTCCCCAAGAAGGCAAAGCAGGATGCAAATCTCAGAACTCAGTGAGATAAAAGTGATAGATATGAACATTATTTTCCTATGAAACAGTCTTGACATAAACGTTTACTTTGTCAAACGCATATTTTTTTGTTTTAACTTCATAGAAAGTTGAGGTTAAAGCAATACAAAAGTATCCGAAAAAGCTAAATATTACACCATGCATATCAGAAATAATAACAAAAAGAGCATGTGATTACTAATTAAAGCTGTGTTAAAGACCAAACATGAAAAAATGTGCTTCCACCATAATGTTGATATAAATAGACATTTAGTCATTAATTTAAAATTAAAAATGCTCGTTTGTTTGCTTGAACTGGAGCAACTACCTCTGTCACCCTGTGCTTATCTATTGGTTTGAGTGAGAAGGCAAAAGTCAAATTTGTGCAAAGTTTATCGACTGAGCACGACATAATCGTAGTGGGCGAGTTCTTTAAGCAAACAGATGCCTTGATGAAACTACCGAGACACAACATGGTACTGAAGTCTCCGTTTCAGCTGACGACCTCTTCTCAAACTACATGAAAACACCAACTGAGCTGAAATGCAAAATATTAATGTAGAACATGAATAAATTTAGATGAACTGACATAGTTTAGCATCACAGCTGTAGTCAGCTAAGCTGTGTTGGCTGCCATCTAAACAGAAAAACACAATTAGAGAACGGGAGCCATGTCTCCGCTTTCATCAACTGAGCTGTGATCATCACGATGAGCAGAACTCATAAAGCAGAACAGATTTATACGAAGAAAGTTGAGTGGAACTCCGTATTTAAACCAAGCTGAGACCCTGAACGGTAAAAAGTCCCCACAACCCATCCATCCATCCATCCATTTTCTTTACCCGTTTGTTCCATTTTGGGTCACGGGGGTCGCTGGTGCCCATGTCCAGCAATCACTGTGCGAGGGGCGGGGTACACCCTGGACGGGTCGCAAGTCCATCGCAGGGCCATCCCCACAACCCACTTACCGATATTCCTCCTTTTAGCGAAACAATCAGCACTGAATTTCAAAAAAGGTTTGATCACTAGCTGGTAGTGGCTCCATCAACAATCAAAACTGACCACTGAAAACTTTCAGGAACTCCGGCACACTTTTTTTTTTAAGCACAGATTCGCACATGTGTGCAAGATGAGCACTGAAGCAGGTTGCCCAGCTAAACAAGATCTCTTTCTATAGGCCATGTTAATGCAAAACTGAATACTTAAACAAAATTAATGAAATACCATGTCAGGTAAATGTTTACAAATTAAAATACTGTCTGTGACAGGTATGACCATTTTTGTATGGTGTTTAAAACAACCTGACCTGATGTTTGAAAATATCAAACACACATGATGATTCTTTTTGCTTTTCTCTCTTTAGGGGTCTCCACAGAGAGTCATCCTCCTCCATCTCACTCTGTCCTCACTCCACCTCCATGTCCTCTCTAACTGCATCCATATATCTCCTGAATATATACTACCGGTATATGAATGTGAACTATATGAATATATACTATTTCAAACACACGATAACCCCCCCTCTTATGTTTAGAACAAAGCAGGTATTGTTTTGTTGCCTCAAAACCTTTATTTCACCTCTATTGTGGGAGATCAAATGTTAACATCCCTCTCTATTTCCACATCAGCACTGGAACTGAATGAAATGCCCAAACCAAATTAACAAATAGCTCAGGGAATTTGGAAAAGATTGCCATTGATTATCTTATTGAGCTTTACCTGATTTAAAGATTTTTTTTTTTTTTTTGGATACAGTGTACACTGATTAACATGACTGTCAATGAGCCCGTCTTACACTAATCACTGAACCAATATCTATTAGAAATAAAAGGCCCTCTCCAAGCACACATTATTAAGTGTCTCGTCTCCACATGCATTCACGGATCCACTTACCATAAACATGCTAACCCTGACAGATTTTTGTATCCTGTAACATTAACACAGGAACCGCTTCACTGCACCACAGTGGCTTAATTGCATTTAAGAGCCAGTCCACACAGAACATCTTCTTATAGCCTGAAAGTGATCACATTATGGCTGGTTTAGAGGCAAACAGGACAACACCAGAGGAACCAGGAGAGAGGTGTTTTGAAATAAACACTGAACTAAATGTGTGTATAAACATAATATATATTAAAATACACCAAACGACTCAGTAGCCTATCCAAGGCTTTGTCTTGACGTGTTTCACACACTGGAAAAATACATTTTAATGTTTTGTGAGAACACTAATCTAATAGTAAGCAAACATCCTCTTCAGCTATGTCTCCTATTGATGCACCATAGTTACAATGACTGGAAAAAGACAGACTAATAGCACAAACAGAACTGAAGCCAGATCTTAGACATTTTTTTGTAAGAATATGTAAAAAAGTGAGTGCGTGTCTAGGTCAAGTAAAACTTGGTTTCAGTAAATAATACAAAAAAAAAAAAAAAAAGAACATGCACATGACTTATACAAAATGTGTGAACTCCAAAAGAAAACACACGTGCTTTTGTAAATTTATAGAAGCAGGCCTTTCTCTGGCCTAAACAGGTAAATCTTGAGTTTCATTCCAGTAAAATGACACACTTGAGTCACCCTCGGGTGATCGGTCATTTGTCACAGCAACTTTAGAAATATCGATTGCTACTTTAACACATTTTCTTTTACTATTAAATCCTATGTGTTAAAGAGAACTGACTGCTGTTCATTGTCCGAAGACAACAAGCACAGACTGCAACGTGTTGGTTTAGTCTTTTCATAATATTAATAGATTTACTCCATCTATTCATCTTTTTTTACCCGCTTTTCAGCACAGGGTTGTGTAGGAGCTGGCGCCCATCTATAGAGGTCATTATGTGAGAGGCGGGGTACAACCCTCGACAGTTCACACGTTTCACATTAAAATGCAAACAAATGTTTCAACTGAAACCATAAAACAGATTTCAAGTTTTCTTAAAGCCTTTTAACATGACTGTAAGCCCATCTCATCAAAGCTGTGGGCACCGACACTATGTGGCCCATGCTGATAAACAAAGACATAAAAATGTCCTAGTTTGGTTAACTGACCTTGAAAAGCTGAGGCGACATAATCTGGCACCTGCCAAACTATCATGTCTACCAGAGCTGAATTTCTGGGAAAGGACTTGATGATGTCACCTTGAATTTGCATGACTGTATCAGCAAGGTCGTAAAGTTGATTAAGATAGAAACTACGCATTATCCTAGTGTTTGTTGTCATATTCTCAATCCCTGGCGTCAAATGACTTTGACCACAAGGTGTGGCTAAGATTCTAGATGCACATGCAGTTTGAAGACAGTCAAGTCTTTAAACCAGGACCTGCTTGGGGTTGTGTAAAACAAAAGCCACAATGTTACACCAATTAATTCAACTCAGTCTTTCTACGCCAAAATGAGTCAAGCTTTGTAAAAGCAAAATCACTTTCAAGACAATGACATACCATTAGAGTGAAATGTTCAAACAAAATAAGGAATGAAAAGAACAATGTTATTAAATCTTCCTCACATATGGCTGTGTAAGAATGTCCTGGTAAAAAAAATAAATCTTTACCAGTTAGTATTCAAAAACAAGGAAGCGTGTTAGCACCTCGGGGTCAAAGGTGACAGAGCTCAAAGCACAAACACCAATTAAGACTGGGCCTTTTTTTTTGTTTGTTTGCATCACAGAAACTGGGCGTTTTATTCTTCTTGAATTCTGCTGATTAAAGATACAAGAAGAAAACGCCTGATAAAATAAAATAAAAAAAGATGTATAAATGTACTCTCTCAGAGTGCATGCATTTGATCACAGCTACATCCAGTGTAAAAATGTATGCAAAGGAAACCAGTGTTGAGTTTTCCTGGTGGGGGTGGTCATTGTCACAGAGTATAAACACTAAGTCCTAAAACGTAGCCAGCAGCCTGTCATTTTAGACCTGTTAGCTTGATAAGGGAGGCCTACAGGAGGAGGATCACTTCTTTGACCAACAGACCCAGAACAAATGACATGTGTCACGGTTAAAATAATGCAGAACAGAGCGGGGCTCTTTTCACATGAGGCTCTTTGTGCTCAAATTGCTGAACTACACAAACACTACAGTTCTACACATACACGCTTTTTGCTAACAATATTAACACTTTATCGAACGGCAAAAGGCTAAATGACTAACACAGGTTGTAAACAGTCTTTAACTCACAGGGCTTGAATAAAACCTACCTGAACTGCCGTAAGACTTTGCCAACAGCCATCCGACACTTGCGCATATTTTTGATTTAGTGCAGTCATACAAATCCAATGGCTTTATGTCTGAGACCACAAAAGTCTTCTTCATGGTAGGGGAATCCACCATAGCGAATCTGTAAAAATATGATACGCTATGATGGCTAAAAACGGGGGAAGCAAGACTATTAAAACATTCAAGCAATCATTCTCTTTTTGTACAGTAGTCCACACGACCGCAGGGTTGGGAATACGGATGTGGTTTCAGGTTTTCCTCGGGAAATATCCGCCCCGGTCTCGTTTCCAAGCCACTTGACGTTTGTTCTTCTGCTAGCTTAATGAGATTTTTAAAAATCCACTCAATTATAATTTCCAGCGAAATGAAGCCGCAGTCCGCCAGGTCAATGTAGAAAACTGGAGTATTCCCACTTGCTAGTCTCTCTGTTCGTCCGCATTGCTGTGTTGTCAGTTCACTGTACACAGCTCCGCTTTGGTCTAATCGATGAGTGACGGCCAAACCCTCCACACAGGCGTCGCTCTTTCATTCCATCGTCCAATCAAAATCGAGCCTGAGCAGTGGGGGCGGGACCGTCCTGTGAACGCAGACAGCAGGTAGAGGTGTGGTGTGAGTTTCTCTACAGGTGCATCTCGTATATGGATGAACGCAAGGGTGTCATCTTTTAACTGGCTACGTCAAAACAGCTGAGCGAGTAGAAATACTGTTTCCCCATCAATTACTGTAAAATCCATTATTTTATTGACTATAATGCGATAGATACAATGATCACAAAAGAAATGTTAGCACAAAAACACTCCCGCAAATTGAATACACGGCATTTTTTACTTTTGTTGGAGCTTAAGAGTACTTTAATAATTTTTTATTGGTCTGATCCCAGTTTTGAATGGCCAGTTGTTGATATAGAATGACAAATTTAACTCAAAACATGTTTTTGCAGTCTTCAGTATTGGTTGCAGAAAAACTGACTTTGAAAAGCTAATTAAACTAGTACAATGTTCTAGTATTAATTTACCCCTTTATGTTCAGCAATATTGGCCTGTAAAATAAATAATTTTGGCCTCTACTTAAGTTCATATTTATTAACATTCAAATTAGTAGGCGCAAAGCATGTGATAATGCACCAAGATGGTAGTATTTTTAAACACTTGCTCAAAATATTGCAGAACAAAAAAAAAAAAACTATTAAAAAACAAGCTATAATTAAATAATTCAGAATTATGGCATGTTGTAAAAAACAAAAATATAACACTACTCGTTTTAAACTACAATGACAGAGTGAATTTCCATTTGGTTTTAAAATTACTCCTGAACACCCAACTTTGAAAAATAGAAAGCTCAGGAGTTCCACATCACAAGATGCTTAAAATGCAAAATTTCTATATGCAGTCCACTATTTGTAACTTTGTAAAAGGATTAACTCTTAGCTATTTTAATCCAATTATGAAAACACGACGAATCCTAGTCAATTCATTTTGAGATTCAGTTTGTCGTACAATGAGGTGAATATAACAACAAATATGACCAAATGCCTTAAATACTTTTATTGGAAAGTGTTTAAAAACTATCAAATAGATGTATTTCAGATTTGAATGTTTGACTCAGAATCACATTTTATTATTACTGCAGTACTACTAACAGCCTTATAAATGAGAGGTGAGCAATAATGCACTTGTAAGGAAAAACTTCTGTAAGCTCTCCTCCATATCAGCATTTACTCGATTGTTCAAAATCTTATACAATCCTGAATGGTTTAAGTGCACTTGCAAACAACTAAAGGTAAATTTTATCATTATAAAAGTTATATTCTATAGATTAGCAAGTCGTAATTTTAAAAGCATCTTGTGATAATCAACTAATTGACAAGAGCAAAGCCTATATTGTCAACTCAAATTTCAAATACTGTACCTCCAAGCTGAAAAAACTACACCCTCCCCTATATTTTCTAGGACAGAACCTTCAGTGAAAGAAAGATTCTGACATTTCTAAGAGGTATTAAAGCACTGTTACATTTATTTGTTTTATAAAATGTCCCAAAAGTCAAATATCAGGCCTCAGTCGCAGTAAACATGCAGCTGTACATTAATATTCCAAGAAACAAAACTGCTCACTAGCTAAAATATCATCACCCTATTAGTTGAGATTGACTGACACCATGTGGCCAAAACATATCTAATAGCTGGAATACAAAAGTCCATTGGTAAAAATGCTTTCATGTGTTTTTGTTGTTCAATTTGTTTTTGGGTTATTTTATTTTTTTGCCAAAATGATACAACTAAACATTTTTATCTACTGAAGTAATAAAAAAAAAGTCTGAGTCTCTGCTAATTCACATAAAATCTCTTTCAGTCATCTGTGAGCCCTCCAAAGACAGCTGTGGGGACACTCTTCTGCTCAAGCTGCACCTCTGTAAAGATCAAGAACACAAAACAAATGCATTTTCATGACTACAGAAATGTTCAAAGCACTTTTGCTCCACATATACTTTGCCACAAACTCACCCTCTGGTCCTTGTTCATCATCATCTTCATCCTCATCTAGGTTTATTTCATCGGGATTGGCCTGTTTGGAAAGCTCAGCCAACTCACTGCGAGAAGTGTCACTCCTGTGTAAGTAGATCAAAAATATGAGTTTCCTTAGGATGAAGTCCAAATGTATTAAAGGGGAAACCCACTCGTGAACATTTTAACAAATTTTCAAGACCAACAAACCTGACAAACAGAATCTTTTCTTTAGGTTTGGGTTTGTCTTGTTCAGCCTCCGCAGCAAGCTGCTGTGCTTTCTGCTCCAACATCTTCATATCATCAATTCCCATCTGGCCAGGAGCAAGATCTGACACTGATGTCATATAAAATGAATAAACAAATACAGCAACATTTGTTAAAAATAATGATTTTTGTAAAAAAAAACAAAAAAAAACAACAACAAAAAAAAAAAGCCAGAAACAATCAAGAAGTTCAATGGGACTATAGATTGATGAAAATGTTTCATTTACAATATGGGATGGACCTTTCTTTTAATACAGCCCGTTTTCTTACCAGTGCCTGTGGAGCTTGTTGTAGCTTTCAGCATTTGAGAGGACATAAAATTGACCTGGGTGTTGTAGGTAGCCTGAACACTGCGCTTGATCCTTAACATCTCTCTAATGGTGTCCTCATTTCCATGGCGGATCTCAAATTCTTTCCAGGTTTGCCAGAAATGAGCTGTCACCTAAAAGATTGAGTTCACAAATATAACACAAAGCATTAGAAAACGAGCCAAAATGTTTTAATTGAAAGTGTTCTGTTGAAGCAAAGAGGAGAGGTCTCTCACCCTTGGGTCACAGATCTGAGAGCAGTAGGAGTAGATCGCTCTGGCCCTGTCAATCTCACCAAGTTTACTCTCCATGTCTGCAAATCGCAGGCACATCTCCCTTGCATGCTCATCAGGAAGGACCTGGATACAAGTAATTATTTGAACAATTTAGGCATTTCAGAAAACGAAGATAACCAAAGAAATTTAACATTTAAAAGGCGGATTAAACAGATTGCTGTAGCTTTATTAATGAAGAAAACATTAAATTGCTTTAATGTTTTTATAGGGCAAAACAAACAAAAAATAGATAGTGAACATTGCTAATATAAAATATAACCACTGACAACGTGCTAGTGCAAACAAGAAACAATATTGTGACGTACAAATAATTTAACTTGGTTTTAAATATACATTTTTTTTAAGACTTTGTTGCCAGATTATCACTGTAATGGTTTACATGGTAACGTAGGATACTATTATATTTATGTAGCCCCAAATATTTCATAAAGTCTACCACAACAATGGTTAGGCCAGTAACCAGTTTTCAGCAACAAAGGTAAAGAGAAGTAAACAATTTTTTATTTTGTGAATATACAGCTTTATCACAAACTAAATGTGATGAGCAAGAATTTGCAGACTAATAAAACAAGAATTTTTTGTAAATAAAAAGAAACATGTACTCTACCTCAATAGCCTTCTGATAAATTGCTCTGGTATATGTAACTCCATAAATTTCAGCTGCTCTCTTGATGTAGATATTAAACATATGGTGTCTCTCATCAGTTTCCACAGCCTGTGTTGCTCTTTCATAGACAGCCATGGCATGCCGCGCTAATCCGTACTCCTCTTCCAGTTTGGCATACAACAGATAAATGGCTAAAGTGATAAAACAGTGTTTCAGCAGATTTTACAGGTAGGGAGAAAATAACACCACAAAACATCTTAGTGTAACTCTATTAAAAATATTTACTCTTTGCAAACTTAGCAGGGCAGCCATCGAGGGCTTGTTCAAATAAATCCCGAGCTCTCTCCAACTTCTTGCCCCCATAGCGATCAATGAACTTGGTCAGGTAGGTGTTCCAAATGTCATAAACATTTGGCCACTTGAAGAGAGCGATCCCTCGCTCATAAGCCTTAAAAATAAAAAGACAACAATTTCACAAACACGATGTCACCTAAGAGTGATCCCTTGTTCATTTATCTTAAAAAAGGAATTGAAACAAAAATGTACAAGTATACACAAGCAAGCAATGAAGTTTTTTTTTACTGCTATACTTTTAATTGAATTTTGTAAATGAATAGTTTACCTTAAAGCTTTCCTCAAAGTAGTTGTGTTCTTCAAGGAACATGGCATAGTTGATGATGATTTGTGGAGTGGCAATGCGTAGATCAATAATACGGTCGTAAACTGCTTTTGTAGACTGAATTATACATTAAAAAAGAAGAACATAGAGAAAGACTTACTCTCAAAAATCACGGATTTGCGCGTCTGTTTAATTGCATCACATTTACACACACTGGACAACTTTTCTTATTTTCACAAGCAGCTGAAAAACATAATGAACATACCTGGAAAGTGCCAAGACTTTCCTCCAAGTCAGCCAGCATAGACCAGACCTTCAAGGACTTGTATACCCTGTTTTGGACTGGCTCAGATGAATCAAAGTACTCAGCTTTCTTGGATGGGATGGCTGTAGCTTTCTATTATAAATCAAAATATAGACAAACTTACACCTGTATCCACTATAAGAAGTAATGTCACAAAAAGATTTATAAGAAATTTTACTCTGTTTTTATTCATTTTTTGGAGTGGTTTAACCATCTCTGAACAATTACGCTTTCACTTTTTTGTGAATATACTAATGTGTAAGTCTCTTTAAATTATACAATTTCTATGCACTTGATTTGAACACAAATATTTGTGTAAAACTGTTTTCAATAAAGCTACGAACAAACAATATCTTCAACAACAGTTTTTTTTACCAGTTAATATTTGTTAAGATATGCTTTGAAAGTGGTTTCACAAAAGCAAAAAATAAAATAAAATGTTAGTATGGTTGCAATTTCTAAATGCTGCCACTAGATATCCCTATAGCTTTGTGTACACTGTGCGCCTTAATGATGCATTTCCTCTGGTCTTTCTGTCTATGACTCAACCAAAATAAGTTTAAAGAGGATTTGAATTCACAAAACTGATTTAGAAAGGAGGGACAAAACGCTGTCAAAAGAGCTAAAAGTGAGGGACGAACAGGAATGTTTAAATAAATCTTAACAACTTGACAAAGGAGTTTCATGCATTGTGCCATGTAGCACTGAGAAGGTATTTTTAAATTGAACTGAGTATTGATCCTGTTTAAACTTGCATTTTAATGCTGTGCAGTGATTTCTGTGGTAAACCGCTCTAATAAACTGTGACTAGACTATAAAATGTAACTATAACAGAAACACAGTCAACAAATATGCTGCTGTACCACTTTTTATCTTCAAGACTTTGCTTTCCAAAAACGGCTCCAAGATAATATTTCACTATTTTTAATGCCTGTTGTTTTACATTTTCTTTACTTGGGGCTAATACAGACTTATTCTAAACAGAAGTATAAAATATTTATGAATAGGAATCAATGACATACAAATAAGACATTTATAACTAGAAGCACTCCAAGAGCGCACACCCCCACCAAGACTCTTAAGGGCCACTCACGTATTAACATCTTGTGCACTGACAGGCAAACAGACAGACAAACCAACGCTACCAAAAACCTAACCTCCTTGGCGGAGGTAATAATAACCTTAATGTATTTAATATGTGCATTACCCTCAGTATGCGCAATGCCTGATCATAGTTCTCATGGCGAAGCTCCATTTCTCCATATTCACACCACACTGCAGCAAGGTCATCCACTTGCTTGTAGTTCACTTTTGTAGCCTTCTCAAAGATTGTCCGAGCCTGAGTAAAATTCGGGAAATACAGAACGCATCAAAGAATAGAAATACAAATCTGACCCAAAGTTCAAAGAGTTCATACCCAAGGAAAGACTTATGCGACTTACATCATCCAGCTGATCATTTTCTTCATAGAATTTAGCAAAAGAAACCCAGAGAGAATGTGGCTTTCCAGTGGCCTTCATTGGATCTATGGTCTGCACTGCTTCAGTGTATGTGTTGATGATCTGCAGAATATGTTATGCACTGGCTTATTGGTAATGCACTTGAAAATTCAGTGTTAAACATGTATTATTGAAATGTGGCCATAAAACATACATGCCGTGGAGTTCCTTCGTACAGTTTTACGCGTTTGTGCCACTCATGAACATTATGGGGGTTTTGCCTCAGTAGTACACTGTTCAGCAACAGAGGACGACGAGTAATCAGCTGCTCAAAGCGTGCCAGTCTAAGCTCCAAATCTATGTCATCTAGTTAAACAGAAGCAAAAAGTAAGGCACGAGTAAATTTGTGGAAGGAAGATATATTATTACTGTTTTATAAATGCACAAACCTTCCTCCTCTTGTCCCATCTCAGCAGTGGTTTCCATTTTTGCAGCAATCATGCTCTCTTCAAACTGAGCATAACTATCAAACACTTGTGTGAAATCCCTTACAGTTACCACCGTAAGGATGGCTTCCTCATACACATCTCGTGCCTGAAAATAGAGACCAGGAAAAGCTCCAGTTTAATAAACTAGCACATTTACATTTAGATTCAAACAACATAATTTTAAAATAGGTGATTTGAAGCCACATTAGCTGTCAAAATACATTTTTTTAATGCTTGTAATTAAGTTATTTGTATATATTTGTTTTCTAACATAATGTTAACAAAACTGAGTTTCCAATACACCCCTCACCACACACAATTTTTATTATGCATAATTTGTATGAGCCATAAAAAAAATTTAATAAAAAAACTAACAAAAAATAAAGTGTATTTTGACAGCATTTTAGCTTTTCAAAAAAGTTATTCAGAGGAAACACACTTTCTCAAAGTGGCCACTTCTGATGTAATAGTCAGCTAAAGAGCACCAAAGTTTTCCAAGTTGGTCTGTGAAGCGTGTAAGGCCTCCTCGTATGATGGCTCCAACATTTAGAGAGGTCACTTTATCTGGATTTTGAGAAATCAGGTCACATAGCTCATGCCACAGCTAAAAAAAAGGAAAATAAAAACGTGTTTAAAATGGATGCATTACAGTAATACTAAGAAGTACTTGAAATTACACTAAAATCTTACTTGATAATTAGACTTGCCCTCTTTGGACACAAAGCTTTCATCGTTGACAATAGCTGCTAGTCGCAAAGCTGCCTCATCCAAACGGCCAATTGACCGCAAGTATTCAATGTATTCTTCTGCATTTTCTGGAGAAAGCTACAAGGTATAAAGAGGAGACAATACATTTTGACTGATGTCATGAAATTTTCATTTCATATTTTAAGTCGTAAATATAGCCAGCAATCTATTTTTTTGTTTCAACATTGAAGTTTTCTGTACCAAAAACAAATGTGATTTGCTTCTATGTCTTTCTAAATCAGCAACAGAGCATAACATTATATTGTGAAGACCTCTAGAAAAAAAAGGTGATACACACTCAAAACAAAACTAAAAAAATATGAAAACAATGTCACGTTCATGAAAAACTTAGTTCTGAAACGCATAAGGAGGAAAATGCCACACAGTAACTTTCTAAAAAGTATGAATGCAATGTATAATGTTTAAATATTTTAGAGCATTCCTAATGATAGCTGCTGTATAGAACTGGATTTTGGTCAATGCTCTCACCAATGCTCTCACCTTAAGGTATCGCCGATAGACCCGAATTGCTGTCTCAGGTAGGGGCAAGTTGCGGACAAAGCGAAGATACAAAGGCCAGATTCGTGGATGCTGAGTTACTGGTAGAGCTCTCAGTGCACGATCAAATGTTCGCCGACTTCTTGTGATCTTACACTGAGTAACAAGGAACTGGCAGTAATCAATCCATATCCTAGGCATCTAGTTTTGAGGAAAGAATGTTTGGTTAGTTTTAAATATGACTCTGAATGGCCATAAAAATATTTTCTGTAATTTTCCTTTTTGCTTTATGATAAAATTATTGAACAATAAGTCAACATTACCTTGTGCATGAACACCAGAGACCTTTCGTGGCAATTATTGACCTCCTCATAGACTGGTTCGGTTATACATTTTCCTTTAACTTGCTTCCTTCTCTCTCTCAGATAATTGTACCACAACTTATAGCTGTAATCAGATCAGACATTGTTGGCAATTAATTAGAGAGGGACTGAAAGAGAACAAGGAATCTGAACAATGCCATCTATAACAAAATGTAGTATTGTATTCTTTATAAATAAATAAATATGACTTGACTTTAAATTCCAGCTTATCTGCACTCTCAAAATATTGTTGACTGATCATGATGTACTGGTGATATTACAACACTTCTGCCTGTAATCTAAGTCATCAACCTTACAGTTCAGTCAATGTTTATGCTGTTATTGTGTCTCTTACCTTCCAGGCAGTTCCCTCAGAGCTCTCTCATATATCATGTTGAGAGTTGATTTGGGTCCATTCTGTTTAAATTCAATGTAGCGCATCCAACACTTGACAGAGTATGGATTCCTGATAATCTCCTCTTCATAAGGAAGATCATCATCTTCCTAAGGGAAGCCATAGAAAATAACAGGATTAGTTAAATCTAACAGGTCCTCTGGACGGATTCTTCTTTGTTGAAAGTTTTGTCTTTTATCCAAATGACTTTGTCATTCTGAGGAGCTATTGCAAGTATCACTCAGTCCTCTGGGAATAGCAAGTGGCCATCAGGGCACTAACAATATCGGCTGTTGGTCCTCCATGTGAACAACTAGTTTTGGCTGTCACCAGCAAACTCACTATGAGAAGGTGCAGTTTATGACAGAGTTTGTTGTAGCTCCTCAAACTGAAGAAGGATTTTGGATAAAACACGAAACGTTTCAACAAAGAATCCGTCCAGAGGACCTGACTCAACCTTGTTAGATTTACCCACCTGTTTTATTGAGCAAGAATCAGGATAAAATTAGCTAAATATTTTCGATGCAGTGGCGTTTGTAACAGCTAACATTAGCACGTCGGGAGCGCATTACTGAACTAAAATGTTGTATTTCGTATATATTCTTAGAAAGCTAAAATGTTTAACTAAATGATTACTCCAGAACCACAGTTCAAGCATTCATGGAAGACTGATTGTTTGACTACATCTACTACACGAGCTTTCAAGTTGACGAACACTCAACCAGGCTAACATGATATAAGTTAAGGCTTCTTTTCGAAAACACTAAACGATAAACGTTATTGTGTCACTTACAAAGATAACATCCGCTTTCCCGTTTTGTGAAGGCATTCCTTCTTAAAGAAAATACGTTTCCAGTTAAAAACAATGCTAACTTTCGAAACGCTAAGCTAGTTTAAAAACTGAACGTGAAAATCTGAGACTTCCGGTGACGTAACACGTATGCCTCAGAAAACACGCATGCGCAGCATACTGATGTCTGCCACTGGCGCACACTGTAACGTGATCGTAGATAACAGCGCCACTAACTGGTTTTGAGTGTAGATTACAAAAGAGTAAGTAAAAAAACAAACAAACAAAAAAAAAAAAACACATTTTTTTAGGCAGACCTTAATTGGATAACAGAGACCTGAACTTTTTTGTAAAATGAGAAGTCAAACTGTATTTTATTGCAGTTCAACCTCATAAAAGTTTTATAAAAAAATGTCCCAAGACTTTTGATTAACATTTAATTTGGGAAGTTTTTTTTTTTTTTTTTTACTAAAAACCTACTTTTAAAAATCATTACGAGTTCTACAAAACGTCTGTGATTTTTAGCTGTTTTGTCAAACTATAAATTAAACATTTAGGCCTGTGTGTTCCAGCTAGTCTTGATCCTTTTGCTTTTTTCTTTCTTGTAAACTCTCCAATTTTTCTTAGTATTCTATAAAACCAGACCCAGTTTGTATGATTTAGCTGCTTTCCTTCAAAAAACAAAAATGAAATTAAAAAGAAAGGAAGGAAGAATGGATGGATGCATGTATGCATGCATGCATCCATCCATCCATCTTTCTATTTTTCTTTCTTTAGTTGCTTTCTCACCTAAAATGCTTTTAATTCTCAATCTTCGTACATAAAATGTCTCTTTCTTAAATTAGTCACATTGATATTTATATATTATTTTCATCAAAGCAAATTACCCTTAATTCTCAGAGTGTATAGGTATACTGTGTTGCTAACTTTGGCACTGACATTTTTTTTTCCTTTTGGTTGTTCCCTTCTTCAGGGGTCACCACATTGAACTAACTCGCACGAAGATTTGGCGATTGTTTTTATGATGGATGCCCTTCCTGACGCAACCACAGACCACTGAGTTATTCCTCTGTGTGGAGCAGAGAGCTGCCATCTAGGGTGCCCAGGGGAGCAGATGATGGGGATTAAGGGCCTTGCTCAAGGGCCCCGAGTGGGGCAAATGAGGGTGGAGGCAGGTGTGTTTCATCTTTTCCACCCAGATTTTCTAAAAATGTTGTTGGTCTGGGGAGTTTAGCCAGTGGCCTTCTGATCACAGGTCCACCTTCTCTAACCTCTGCACCACCACTACCCCTGGCACTGACATTAACAAATTAAAATAAAAATGAAAATAAAGACTTGAGTGAAAACAGTAATAACAGATGTCTTTCAAAACTATCATGATCTGGGCCTCGACCGATCCAGTTTTATATCTCTTGGATGAACTCGCATGTTTGTTTAGGCAAAAGTGTTAATGCTGGATGTCCCTCCTGACACAATCCCTCACTATTTACCCAGGTTGGGACTGGCACAAGAGATACACTGGCTTGTGCTCCTTATAGTGACTGGTTTTCTAAACCATCATGATAATGGCATTAATAAAGTCATTACTATTTGCACCAGTTGAGAATGTGACCATCTGTGATGTGAGCAGTTGTTCACCATGTGAATTTACTACTTGCATCAATCAAAAATACCAGCAAGCAATATTCTTTTTTTTTGTTTTGGCCATTAATTTAGCTTTTCTGACAGCTCAAGGGACTTTTTTTTTTTTTACTGAAATTAGCTTAGTGCATCATTGTCAAGTGTTATATTTTGTGTCTTATACTATACTAACACTAAAATCTACATAAAAATGCATCATATTGCACTGGCTGCTGCACAATACTTATTTAATCTCTTTTTTTAAGCGTCAGTGAATATAATAGAGTGCAATATGAATTCTGTATTATATGACTTTTTAGAAATGGTATAGGTGCACTTCAAAGTGTAGTTCTGATACATTTTTACTTCAAATGCAAATCTACAATAGCATTTTAACTACAAAAACTGTTCTTCAACAAACCTTGACATGTCATACTGCTTTGAGATCAAGATAATGATAAAGATGTTCAATCAAGTAAAATAAATAAATATGAGTAAAATATATGCTCTGGTCTTCATCTAAAACACAATATGGCAGTAGCAGGCAGTTACTCTTATTAAAAATTACAAATAATATTCTAAACTATTATCCAAGATTCATCATTATACTATGGTTATTCCTTCTGTACAATAAAGTGAAATTAATTAAAAATTAAAAGTTATAAAATTGCAAATAAAAGTTGTAGTTAAATGACTTTTAAATGCTATAAAGATTGAACACTAAATAGCATGTGTACTGAATACTTTGTTTAAATCACCTGTTGCAAAGTCTTACAAAAATAATAATAAAAAAATTATATACATCAGCCTAATATGTATTTGTTGTTATCCCTCTAAAAGGCACTCGAACAGTTGTTTGGTAATCTTTCAGACTTTGACAGTGGTGTTTTAAACCAAAGTCGTATAGTTTTCAAGGGACACTAAGTTTCCATAACAGCAACAACAGCCTTCAAATGCAGCACGAGGATAAAGATCTTTGATATTTGAGTGGTACTTACTTATTATAGATCTTCTCTCAGCTTGGTTGGCAAATGTTCTTCTGCTCCTTTTAAGGTAGGTTGTAATACCACTTGAACTTTGTGGAAAGGGCCTTACATTCAGTTTTATAGAAGCAATATGAGATGTGTCCATGTGCTGCCTGCAACCATATACCAGCGCCACTTGCGAGCTTCCCCAAAAAGGAATTTCTCTTCTTGGCTTTGAACATGTTTATCTACATGGTTAAGAAGAGACACTTCTCACTTTAAAATGATCAAATTCAGTCTCCATTGAATCATAATTTAATTTATATTTTATAAATTATTGTTAAGGGAAAAAAAACAATAAGTTTTTAAGAATATGCTTTGCACTGCATCTATTTTGGGACATACTTTGGAGATTAGCGTCACACTTGAGCAAAAGTCAAATGCTTGCAAACGTGGTTCAAGATTACTAACATTAAACAATAATGTTCTCAAATCAATCCATGCTTATGTTGGAATTTATTTTAATATTGTGATATTCAGAAAAAAAAAGAAAAAAAAACTATTAGGCTTTCTTTTAGGCTTTACTGCAAACATACAACATGTAGACAACAACTGGCACTCAATACCAGTAACATTTACTGACATTTCACAAAGGGGAAAACATACTTGTTAAAAAACTGAAGTGACAAGTACCTAAATAGTTTATTTTGTTTTTTGTATTATTCATGATTTGAGCTTGTATGCAACATAATTCACAACATTTTGCATGTGAATTGCACAGTGTTTCAAATAGACGTGCATTATGAAACTATTTGCTTCTTTTTTTTACTTTCTAAGTTTTGGATCAAAGGTTGCTCATAAAACATAATTGAGTTTTCTGTAAGAATCCTTTGTTGAAAGCTTATGAATGTTACATCAAAAAATAGCAGACTAATCCTGAAATGTCACACGATGGGTCTTAAGATGACAGGGATGCTTGACCAAATCGAGAGGCAGGGCGCTGCTGACCAAGCATTTAAAGCTCTATAAAAGCAGCAGCCTCAGAATCCTCTGAGAACTGACAGGCATCTCACCCAGGTTAGTGCTTTGTGTGTTGTCATAAACTTGATTTCTTTATCTTTAAACTCTTCCTTTCATGAGTGTCTTTTTTACTGTTGTCAAGTCTGGCAATAGACAAAAGAGCTCATCTAAATCATTTCAACGACATATACCAGCAACGCTTGGGGGCTTCCCCAAAAAAGACTTTCTCTTCTTGGCTTTGAACATGTTTATCTACATGGAAACTAAGTGGTTTTGTTGATAAAACAAAACCACTTAGTTTGTGAAAAATGTTTATGGTATTTTAAATTTTGCCTATTTTAACTGTATATCATTTTTTAAAGCATTTTGAGACATCAACAGACCTGGGCCACTCATTTAAGACAAATTGAGGTGAGATCTGCTTGCAGATAAACACACTTAATTTTTTTAAATTAAAACATTATCAGCATTATCAGAAATGTTTAACACTACATGATGCAACATTTGATATAAGTAATGCAAAACTCTTTTTATAGTGTTGACAAAGCGCCAAAATGAGCACAGATGCAGAGATGGAGCAGTATGGCCCTGCGTCCATATTTCTCCGCAAGCCAGAGAGAGAAAGAATTGAGGCTCAAAACACCCCATTTGATGCCAAAACTGCCTACTTTGTTGTTGATGCTGACGACATGTATGTCAAGTGTAAACTCGTCAAGAAAGACGGTGGCAAAGCCACTGTTGAGACAACTACAGGAAAGGTAAGTGAACAGTAGTTTTGTTGTCATGCATTACCAGGAAGTGCTATTTATCCTGTAATTTTTTTTAACCGATATTGAACTTTATTGTGGAACAACGTTTTTGTAGCACCAAAAAGTTACAATATTTTCTATTTACCATAGTCTGTCACTGTGAAAGAGGATGACATTCATCCCATGAATCCACCAAAGTTTGACAAGATTGAGGACATGGCCATGATGACCCACCTCAATGAACCTTGTGTGTTGTTTAACCTCAAAGATCGTTTTGCATCATGGATGATCTACGTGAGTACCCCTAAACTTAACTTTAAGCAAATAATGAATGTATAATCTAAAACAAACACAATATGCTGTATTTGCTATACAAAGCGAAGTTCATGTGTAAATGATATGTCAAATTAGAGCATAATTATAATCAGGAGTGACTGTTTTTGTCCAGACTTACTCGGGCTTGTTCTGCGTCGTCGTGAACCCATACAAGTGGCTTCCAGTGTACGATGCTCAAGTTGTTGGGGCATACAGAGGCAAAAAGAGGATTGAGGCTCCCCCCCACATCTTCTCTGTCTCTGACAATGCCTATCAGTTCATGCTCACTGGTAAGATACTATCAAATAAGTTGTTATGTTAATTCACAAAAATCAGTTTTCATGTGATATGACCAAACTGAGCCTCTAAAAAGACAAAAATGTTCATTTCAGATCGTGAAAACCAGTCAATCCTTATCACGTGAGTAAAAAAACCCCAATTTGTTCAGAGTTTATTTGCTGAAATATGAAACTAATACTCAACATATTTATCCTAACCAGTGGAGAATCCGGTGCTGGAAAGACTGTAAACACCAAGCGTGTTATTCAGTACTTTGCAACAATTGCAATGACTGGATCAAAGAAGGCAGAGACATCTGGAAAGATACAGGTATGGAAAAAAAAAAACAAGTTATACTATTATTTGTTTATAAAATTCACATCAACTTGCAATGTTAATCCAAAATTTATAGGGTTCACTGGAAGATCAAATCATTGCAGCCAACCCTTTGCTGGAGGCCTACGGTAATGCCAAAACTGTGAGAAATGACAACTCTTCTCGTTTTGTAAGTATTAAAGTGGCACATATTAAACAAAAACTTTTAGAATTGCATATCAAGAATATCAGTAACATCAGTGTGGCATATTTTAGGGTAAATTCATCAGAATTCATTTTGGAACAAGTGGTAAACTGGCCTCTGCAGATATTGAAACATGTAAGTCATTTTCGCATACCGTATTATTAGTTTCAGGTTTATTACTCAAACGTTGATAGTTTGTAAAAAAATAAAATAAAAAAATAGGAAAAGCTTGTTACCAGTGTAACAGTGTAAACTACCTACTGTACGTACGTAGGTACCTACCTACCTATCTACATATCTACTTTGTACCTACCTACATACATACATATCTACATACATACATACATGTATGCATGTCTGTGAGTGAATGTGTGCATGTTTGTGTGTGTATTATTGTATGAGTCCATATACCTATATACTATTGATGAGTTCTTCTCCTAGATCTGCTGGAGAAGTCCCGTGTCACCTTCCAGCTGTCTGCTGAGAGGAGCTACCATATCTTCTATCAGCTGATGACAGGCCACAAGCCTGAGCTTCTGGGTATGTGAATAGACAAATCATCAAATTATATAAAATATTTTATATACAATAAAACACAATTATCTAGCTTTGTCATCTAATACTTTTCAGAGGCTCTGCTGATCACCACAAACCCTTATGATTATCACATGATTAGTCAGGGTGAGGTGACCGTAAAGAGCATCAATGATGTGGAGGAGTTCATTGCAACAGATGTACGTATGTTAATAGGTTTTAATGATTAAAATATCTGACTGAAGAATAATTAAAAAAAAACTTAAAACGCTAACAATGATATATGGCTTAATTTATTTGTAGACTGCAATTGACATCTTGGGTTTCACTGCTGATGAGAAAATCAA